GGGCTGCTTCCATCTCGGATTTCACAGGCTCAGGTTAGTCTGCAGGTGACTTCGAAAAGTCCGACCTGGAGTCTGGATTACGAGGTATGATTTCTTTCACAGTAGGAAAGCTTTCATCCTCTGCAATAATGTCTTCCCCCTCATCAGAGGGCATAACCATTGCCAACGGAACTGGGTCTGAGGTCACCTCAGGGTTTGAAGATGCACTAGCCATCTTTTGCAAATGTGTATGCGATGGAACAGAAGGTATAGAAGAAGTGGCGATGGTGGGAGTTGCTGAAAATAAAAACGCAGAAAGAAGAAGAAGAGACAAGGTGCAGGTTCGAAAGATCAGAGAATTTAAAGGCTTCTCCAAAGGGTTTCCCCCCTTTTATTTATAGAGAACAACGGTGCTCGAATCGACGCAAGTAACCATCGGAAGCTCTGGAATCGAAACGACAGGGACACAAGGAATGATGCAATGCATCGGAAGATGCGTAATGATGACGCATGTGGATGTGATGTCACTCTGAACCAGCGTCATTGAGAGAAGTCCTCAGAGCGACACGTCACCACCTCGGCTGCAATCACCATTACTCAACCTCCCCGTCCAAATTTCTCGAAAACTACAATTAATGAAGTTCGCTCATTGAGGTCGACCAAGAGAGGACCTCGATAAGTGGAGGGACTAACTGTATGGGTCAAAATCTGATCGAGGAAATACGGCACGAGGAGGAGATCAAGCGTAAGAACTGAAGCTCGTCACGGGCAGCTTGATCGAGATCGATCAGCGGTCGATATGAGTGAGTCGTTGAGCGGCCCATTAGGGCCAGGTCAAATAGTAGGAACAGATATAACGACTAGTATAGCTTTAAGACTTCCAAAGGGAATATTCTTTTGAATATTCCTTCTGTTGTACTTTTTAGGGTTCTTTGGGAATATCCCATATAAATAGTAAGAGAGATGAGGCAAAGGGCATGTAATATTCTATATGATAAGAATTCTTATGAAAAGTTGACCCTCAAGAGAAATACAAATATTGCCTTTCCATACATATTCGATTTGTTGTTTATCCTATCTTTCTCGCATCAGATCCGAGAAAGCCCCCTATATTCCAACATTCGTTTGTCTTACATCATTGTCAGAGAGAAGAATCATCAACCTCATTCAATATTTGGGTGAATCATTCTATCTATTTACATTTATTGCCATTTAATAGAGTTATTACTTATCATAGTTCTTCCACTCACTCATAACAGTATCATTTGATATCCATTGTATTGAATTGGTTTAAACACATTTCCACATTACATGTATAAACACTCTTAGATCTAGAATTTATTATGTTTAACTAGGATTTACCCATTATCTCCGTATTTAATTAATTTAACAAAAGGTTTCATACTTTTTGGTCAAACAATAGGAGTAAATTACTATAATTACATTTTATATACCCAATTACCATTTATGTACATTTTAAGGGAATTAATAATAATAATTAGTGTCCTAAAATCACTCTAATGTATCTTCCACTCCCCCCATGTTTCTCTCTCCACATCCCACCCCCCTCCCCCACGTATCTTGCACAAGAGAGCAGCAATCCACCATTGACAACCATTAAAAAGCTTTGAAGCTTTGAATCAATTTAATGCTATGAAACTTAAAGCTTTGAAGTTCAGTAACTGATGGTTCGAAGATCAATCAACAAAAATATTTATTAGTTGTGCAAAGTTTTGTAAGTTCACTGCAATATTTTGCATAATCTAGCTGGTCACCTACACATTCGAAGTCAGAGAAAAAGTTTAGCTTTTTGTTTTGTTTGTTTCCCTTTAATTCGAATTTGGGTTTTCGAAAAATATTATTTGTTCGAGTTGGGTGTTGTTGCAAAGAATTGGGATTCTCTCTACGTCTCTCTCTATCTCTCAATCCCTAATTCAGTAATGTAAAGCAAAGGAAAAGAGAGCAGCAATTCCACCATTGACAGCCATTAAAAAGTTTTGAAGCTTTGAATTCGAATTTGGGTTTTCAAAATCCATATTTGTTTGGATTGAGTGTTGTTGCAAACAATTGGGAATATGGTTTGGAGTTTATATCTCAATTTTGAGGGTGTTTTGGTAAAGATTAGACTTGATTTTAGCTGAATTTCAGATTGAAACTCAAAGAAGAAGAAGAAGAAGAAGAAGAAGAAGAAGAAGAAGAAGACGACATGATATACATTATATTTACGAAATTGTAGTAAAATTGTAGAAAAATTATATTCTGTTGTTTACATATATTTTTTTATTTAACTATTATATGAAAGTTGAACAATATTGTATAAAAATTATATTTAAGTTGTATGATATTGTAGTTGTATATAACCGAGTAGAAATAATGTATGAAAATTGTAGATAAGTTGTATAATATATAATTAGGTGTATGAAATTTATTTTTACTATGTATAAATCAGATACAAAATATACAAGAGACATATTGTATAAAAATTGTATTTAAGTTGTATGATATTGTAGTTGTATTTAACAGTGTAGAAATAATATTTAAAAGTTGTAAATAAGTTGCAGATTAGTTCGTTTGAACCCAGCACTTTTGACCCGGTGCATAGTTTATGTGTAAAGTTCACTTAAATTGCAAAAAATAATAGGTGAACCTTAATTTTAAAAATATACCGGATTCAATGTTAAGAACATTAAATGTATGCTATTGGGATTGGAGGCCTGCCGTTTGACATCTATAGACCAAAACAATCCTCATTATTTTCCAATTGAGCAATTTATGGAGTTCCTTCTCCAACGAGAAATTTTTTTCCAAATTCAATTTAATGTTCTTTCATCCTTGTATTTGTGTTAATATCACTCAGTTTCTAGATATTTCCATACCGACTACCGCACCAAAAGACATGTTGCTCTGATTGCTGATTTTAATTTTCAACCGAATAATCCACTCCAAACAAAATTATGTCGCAGAAAAACAATAGAAGAGTTAATATAATTCAATAGAAGAACATTAAATGTATGCTATTTAAAATAATGGAAGATCTGGCGAGAGAGGGGGATAGGAGGAAAAAAAAAGAAAAAGGATGTAACTAAATCCCTTGATTGAAGGCATAAATAATGGATTTGGGAGCCTTTTAAGGTAAAAATTGTATATATTTTTGTAAACAAAACTTGTTTATGCCGGGTAATTAGCTAAACATCAACATTAAGGATAATAAAGTTTCAAATAGTGTATAGGAATGAAAAAATCCCTAATATATTTCCTATTAAGAAATCCGTGTTGGTTAAGGATTCCACAAGATTAATTTTCCCGAACGAAACCAAAACCAAAACCAAACAGAAGTGGGAAAGGAAACAACAAATTTAGGAAAGTCCTAATTTGATTCCGATTTGGATTACCAGCTTAAGTCCTATATATATCAGAACCAAAGGCAGGAGCGGCACTCATCAACAAAGAGCTACGCACACCATCACCAACACTAATAATTCGCTCTCTTGCTAAGAAATACTAATCAAATATAATATCTAAAACGTCAAAAGAGTTTGTACGTAGAAGAAAGAAGTAATTAAGTCGAATAAGATGACTTCTTGTGGCAAAGCAGAAAACACAAGTCTATGTGCAAGGGGTTGCGGTTTCTATGGAAACCCAAGCAATCACAACCTTTGTTCCCAATGCTACAAAGCTTTTCTGAAAGAAGAAGAAGCCAAGAATGTGATAGCCTTATCGGAGAAGATATCGTCTCTTACTGTTGATGATACTGATTCTGCTACAACTGGGAACGTTGGTTTGACGATGAAGAAGCAAAGATGCATGATTTGCAAGAAAAAATTGGGATTAATAAGTTTCAATTGTCGGTGCGGAGGAATGTTTTGTGGAGTTCATAGGTATCCAGAGGAACATGCATGCAATTTTGATTTTAAGTCTAGAGGCCGTGTGATTTTGGCTAAGGAAAATCCTCTCTGCAAAGCTGATAAACTTGAGACTAGGATCTAAGACCAATATCGTTATTAATTGCTCTTGTTAATTGTTGCTTATCAACCATTTAGTTTGGATGTCCTTTAACATTGTATCTTCTCTTAGTGGAATTAAAGTCACTTTTCCGTTGATTATCACAACTCTTGTTTCATGTGATTATTTATATCTTCTTCTTTTTTATTGCCAACCATGCATAGTAACGATAAACAAACCTTGATTTGAATAAAGCAAACATGAAATTTCTGACGTAATACACTCATAGGTTCAACAAAGCTTTTATCCGAGTAGATTTTCTCTTTTCTGTTTCTTCTTTTTCATTTTTATTTTTATTTTTATATATTATACACATGCAAATTTCAACTTGCATCTCTCCATACAATTATGCTTCACCATCCCGAATTGGATGTGTTTTTGGTTTCCTAAATGTCAAGTTGGCTAATTTCTAACGGGTGAAAATCATTTTCCAACCCGTTGTGTAAAAAACAAAATAAAATTCTCCATCAACTTTAGGCTATATTGCATGGTATAGTTTTCAGTAAGTCACTATGTAGCATTCGAATTTTTTCTACCTTCTTAGTGTAAGAAAAAAATTCAATGCCTCGACCTTTATAATGTCGTTCAACTAAGGAAATTCATTTTCATGTGAATGATAGTCCTATGAACTAGAGTAATATTATATAGATAAAAGAAAAAAGAACCCATATACTCATTTTTATGTATACCTTATAATATAGAACGACCTTATTGGTTTCCATTAATTATTTAAATTTCCAACTTTGCGCTGGTCTAGGTGCAGAATTTGACTCTCCTGGTTGAAAACGACCTTATTGGTTTCCATTAATTATTTAAATTTCCAACTTTGCGCTGGTCTAGGTGCAGAATTTGACTCTCCTGGTTGAAAATGGAGTTCCACTAATTGTATATGCTTCTCTAGTTAAAAATGAAAATGGAGTTCCACTAATTATATATGCTTCTCTAGTTAAAAATGAAAATGCATTTCCAATAATTATATATCCCTTCTATTTTCAAACATTTCTCTGGCGTCAAGAGGGTTGCTCAAATAATATAATGATTAATTTTACTGTCATGTGTTTCAGGCGACACTGAACAATCTATAATGTTCAAGATAATGAGAAAAGAAAACCCATAAGTATTACTTTTCAGAGCATAAATCAGGCAATAAACAACCACAACATGGCCAACATACAACTAAGTCTAGTTTGAATAGATTCAAGTTATAACCAAGCCAACAAGAACATCCAATAGTTGTGCTATGACTCCGTCTGCACTTCCAACCTGACAACTTTTTCCTATGCCTTTGGCGGAAAAGAAAATCTATTCCACTTCTTGTAGGTAATCATCTATTTCCGCTGGCGTGAGAACTCTGCAACAAAACGAACTACTGTTTTAGTAACCCGCCAGCTAAAAGAGTGAACAAATGTTATAAATTTCTCATAAAAGAGCGACCAAAATTAATATTTTAAGGACAAGAAGACACTTACTTAAATACTTTGTCAGTTCCAATAATGCCAATCTCAATGTTTTTGCCAGAGATCTGTCCCTCAAATCTGGATGAACACCAAAAATAAGGGTTTTTTTAAAGGATTCTTTTGATATTAAGAATTATATTGAAAAGGTCATTACACAGTTGGGGCATCGGGAATGGGGGAGAGAACGTCGTTAAAGATACTTTGTTCTGAGGACCATTACTGCACAACAAGCAAGCAATGGTGACAGTAGTCATGACTCAGAAGTTTTGCATGCATAGATTTTGGTGTCATACATTTGACATGAAGATACAGATAAGCCTTGCTTTAATTCTTTCGTTAACTAAATGAAGCGAATTATAGCAGACATCAAAACTATTTCCTCTTCCAAAAGAAGCAGAAGGGTCGAAGAGACACCCCATCCGAGGGGACCATTCAGATATAGAGTACACAGCTCCTGGATAGAGGAAGAAGTTAATCTTACCCCTCCTTTAGAGTCAGTATAGCAGTGTGTACAGCATCATCGAGCTCTATGTCCTCCGTGTACCTGAGAGGAACAGGAACATTATTTTAAATGTTAATAAGAAATTCAACAGTATAATTGGACAGAGCAAGAAGCACCCCAACTTGGCTCAGTAGTTGGCCAGTGAGACAATGTTAATGTTTGACATTGTGGGAGAGAAAACTGGTTAACATCCTCCAAGGGCATGTCAAAGTTTGACCTATAATTTCCAATTGCAAGCGCCAACTGCTGTCACATAGCAATATGAGCAGAAACCCTATGCTAGCATCTTGTTTCAAACAAGATCAGTTGTTTCATTACCAACAACCCTCTTCCTAGGTCCTAGGTCATTCGCTAAGTGCAATTAAACTCATCCATGAATACATAATTTCTCCTTTTTCACCCCCACCCACCTTCGGTTGACACGAGGTTTGGCTTCATGATTACACTTATAAATTACAACTTGGTTTGGGTAATACCCCTTGGCATATCCAGATAATAGAATAGAACAGGATGTAAATCATTGACATATTCACCAAGTGAAGAATGTCCCACGCATAAGCGTCGTTCCAACTTTTGGCAAAAGAAGGGGAAGCACAAGGAGCGGTGTGGAGTGTTAATAGCAGGTTGCTACAAAGATGACGCAATGTAAATGATCGAGACAGTCCATTATTGATGGGATGAAGAATTATGAGGACTGAGGAGGTATTGTATTGCTCTCATTTTACCGAAATTATAAGGGACTAAAGCATGAGGTAGCTGGTCAAGATGAGCCTTCTAAAACTGGCAATTTATACATTAAATCGGACAGTAACTTCGATTGCCGAACCAGTATTGAAACGTTAAAAAGATAGCACTAGAAATAAGAAAAAAGGAGTTACAAAATTTGATGAATGATTCACCTCTTCTCGAGAAATGTCTTTGCATTAGAGACATTCTTCCCCATAGCTGAAGCCTTCCAAGAGAAGTATGAACCAGATGGATCCACCTAAAATGAGAAAAATAAACTGAATATAAAAGGAGTTCAAGCAACAGAGAAATCTGCAGCTCAGTCGAAAAGCTTTTCAAAGAATGAAAACCCCTTTCCATAGACCTATATAAATATGTAGATTCATCTGACGAAAGTATAAACCACCATTAGCCACGCCTCAAGAACAGAAAACGATACTGAGAGATCAAACCAACACAGACAGATAACATACCTGATATAGTTGGGGACCCTTGTCATCAAATCCTGCAACCAAGAGTGAAACACCAAATGGCCTTACACCACTGCACCAGAGAAAACAGAAAAATAGAAGTAAGGGATAGCCCAAGAAGGCTACAAAGTATGAGCTCTTTCTTTTAGTATGAGCTCTTTCTTGAACAGCAAAAAGAAAATCATGAATAGATACAAATTAGGAATCTGGATTAATTTCAAGAAAGATCTGGCTTTGCCTGCTTTCAGTTCATAGTTTTAACTTTTAACCCAAGCAACAAAAAGGAAGCAGTATGGGAAAAGAAAGGAAGGTGACGTAATGAGAAAATCTCAGAAAGAGAAGGGGAGGAAGAAATAAATTCAATACAACTCCATAAGATAACATTTTCACATGATATTCAGATAAGGGAGCGCTATTTCATCCTATTTAAATTTCTATTTCTCAATAGCCAAATGATATTAAGTTCTACAGGATATACAAATTTTTCAACTACAGGTCCATCAACCAGATTCTGCAAGAAAATGAAGGCAACAATAGCCTCAAAGGACAAATACAAGACAACTGAAAGATTTGAAATATGACCAGTATACATTTTATAGGACCCTCTTTGTAAAGTGGAATTATGGAATAAACAGTGGTTACCCTGATTGGGTGAATTCCTGCATGACAGCAGCAGTTTCCCTCACCAGCTGTGTGACAGGGATTGGTTCCTACGCACCACATAGACAAATCAGGCAAATGTAGAAGAAACAAAGTATGCTGAAGCAACAATCACATTAAATAATTCTCGTGTGAGACAATAACAATGCAAGTTAGAGGAAAAGGGAATCCAATTAAAAATGTCTGCCTCCGTAAAGTAAGACTAGAAAATGACATTATATCCTATTATAAATATGAAGAAGAAGCATCCCAAACAACAAAAACAACAACAACGACCCAGTATAATCCTACAAGTGGAGTCTGGGGAGGGTAGTGTGTACGCAGACCTTACATCTACCCCGATGAGGTAGAGAGGCTGTTTCCGATAGACCTTCGGAAGAAGACGAAGAAGAAGAAGAAGCATCCCAAATCATCAAAAATTAGGACAGTCGTATCAACTGGATCTCAGACCAGGAAAGTGGTAATATTTCAAGTAGTTTACTGCACTTGAATTATTAAGGAATTACTGCACTTGAATCATGGCATTGATATTTGATAAAAGCTATTCATACTTTATAGAGTCGGTGATATTGCTCAGCCTGCTTTCTACTTTTCCGAACCAAAACTCGAGAATCGGGGCCCATCCCACTGCAAGAAAAAGTAAATAACATTGGTACTAGAGAAATAGCCGGAGGTAATGCAATAACCATAATAAACAAAGCAAGCATCTTAGATAATTTAGGACAAGAGGTAGCACCAACAGCAAAAGAATAACATCAGCTCTCAAAGGTTCCATCCTTCCATGTGCAACAAGTTTTTAGTTATCAGTACTAGTGAATAGCTACTCTCGGTCGGGTGTTTTCTCAAACATCATTGTAATACTGAGTATAAGGAGCAATAAATGAAGGAAATTAGGATCCTCTCACTTCACAATTTTGGAGGAACTTTTCTTTCCAGAGTCAACTCAGCTTTATAAAATGTAAATCCATAATACTTTATGAGTAAAGTTTCGATCAAGTTCTCTACAACTTAAAGAAATCTTTCCTTGATTATGGTTCTAAAACTAAAGCCTAGTCCTAGCAAACTGGTTAACGTTTAGGTAAAGCATCTCAGCACAATCTTAGTGCTGCTGTGTGTTGGAAAAAAAGTTCTTAAATAAAAAATATCAAATAGCATACTCATTCCAACATTTCTACAGGTTCCACATCCAGTAGTTAGATCAAGAAAGAATCTTTCGATGGAGATCCATGACAATGCATCACAGCTATTCCAATCATTCCACTTCTTTATTATAACCAAATATGATTTTAAGGAAATACAACCAATCTGTTGGGACTAAGGTATGGTTGAATGATCGAATGATTGAATAAAATGCGATCTACTACTTTTATTTGTTACTTAGATAAATTACATAAACCTTGCCCCGTCAAACTGTCAGTATGAGGCCATTTAAATGAGCCTCTGCACTTATTTTTCACCAGGAGCTGCTTCTTATTGTGACTACACACACAGAGATATCTATGTACTCATCACTTGAAATTAAGGATAATTAACTTGATTTACATTTTTATTTCAAGGAAACTCTGGTAATGAGTCCAGAATTCATAAATAAAAGAGAGAGAAAAAAGAATTTGCTATAGGTCAATTGACTAGGCAAACAGGAAAGTAATTCACTGGGTCCATTGTGATTTACATGCCAAGAGCACAGCCAGAATTGTTTCTTCAGTCAACCAATACTGGTCCATTCTATTGACATGAATCTTTAACTATGACATCATTAAACGAACTAAAGAAAGAGCCAACACGAACAGCATAGTTTTATGCTCTATCATATAACAGATTGTACCTGTAGACAACTCCAATATTAGGCGTCAAAACCTGTATTTTCTGCACCTGTTGTGCATTTCAAAGAGTCAGGGATAGATAGCGTAACTACAGGGACATCATTACATGGCAAAGGTTAAGGAATGTAAGGAAAAAGAAAAAAGAAGGTTGGAATCCCCATGCAGTCCCAAAACACCGATAGCTGTGAAACTTAGTGCTTGTAAAAGTTCGATAATATAGCATCAGTGTAATACATAGCATTGAACCACAGAAAATATGAATTTAACAGTAAAGACTATAAACTTAAAATGCACGTATGGCATGTTGTAACTTGGTGACTGCATTTGTGAATATTATTTAGAATATAACTCTACAGAGTAGTAAACTAAGCATTACTAATAAATCTATATATCCTCGACACGTACGCAAATTCAAACAGACCGATTATAATAACTTAATAAGAAATCATTTTTTCAATCTTGATAAAGCTCAATTCGGTATCAGACCAGGGATTCATAGATGGAACTAACATTCGATATTCTTCATTTATGCCTAACTTTTTGCTAAATTGCAACACGTCTATTCACATAATACAGTCATTGGAAATTTTGATCAACAAAAAGGAACAGGAAGTATCAACAAAAAGCACTAGAATCAACCCCAGAGAGAAAAATAAGAGCACCTCTATCTTTTCTTAACTATCAACAGTCATTCTGGCTACTATAATTAACTATGAACAGTTACTCATAAGTAGACAACAGTGGCAGAGTGCAAAGGAATATATATGCTTACAGATGCTTCATCAACTAAGATGGACGGTAACTTCTTCTCAGTAGCAATTACAACACCATTAGCAGCTGCATTCATCCAATTAGACACATGTAAATTAAAGCACTACAAGAACTAAACAACATATAATCGTGCTAAGAGAACAAAAGAAGATTGAAACTTTTAACCACAAGGAATCTCTTTAATGATATATAAAATGACCCCACAATACAAAATCACACAACATTCTTCACTAAAGTAAATACCCCCGTATGGGAGCACAAGTCATCTAATTAATAATAAGTAATTTAATAATAATCAAAGCTATCACTATATCAGTAACTTTGCACTTAAACTAAGGCTTGATTTACCTTTAATCCCTAATGAAGTTTGACCAGATCCAACAGCAGTCAATGCATGTTCAATCTGAACCAGCTTTCCAGATGGGCTATATATGATAACACATTACAAGTTTACAATATCAGATATCACAGTATAATTGATCCAATACATACAGTGTCTGTCTTATAAAACTATACCTGAAAGTGGTGAGTGAGAAAGAGTACTGACTATCACCCATTGAGTTTAAAGACTAGTCTTTAATATAACCCTGTAAAATGATAATGTGCAAAGCAAAAGCAGTACAAGTTAGAGAGTAAAATCACTAGCTTAATTTCCTAAATTAATATTAAGAATTTCTAAAGCATTACTTTGAATCATGATTAACAAATTTTCCCAAAAAGTAAAAGGACTGAAATCAATAACTTCGTCCAGCACCAATAAAAAGTCCACTTTTTTCTACTTCCCTTCCTCCAATATCATCTTCAAATATTAAAAATGTTGCAGGGAGTATGTTCCTAGGTTAAATTTTTCAAAATTTAATTTCTATAGAGATAAAAATTGATAGGATGGAAGTAGGTTTTCTCGTTCTCTATCTGTTCACATTTACATGAAAAATTGATTTACCTAGAAAATGTGCACAATCTAGTTTCTTCAAAAACAAAAAATATAAAATTGAGTTAAAATAACCACACAAAAAAAAAGTTAAATTACACAGGAATAATTTCTTCTTGAGGAAAAACCGGAAAACCTAAGTAAATCAAAACAGAAAATTCAAACAGATTGTGACAAGCTATATTTGTGGTTGCATCAACAAATCAAATTTTCACTTACAACCGAGAGTTTGAAGATGATAACGTAAAGTTCCAGCAGTAAACAGGATTTGCAGAAATAGGGGCAAGTGGGAGTGTAAATAGGCCTCGGCACTGCTACTTTTGTTCTGCTTGAGGAAGAAGAAATATATTTTGGACGAGAAAGAAAGATGGCTCTCAACTCCCAATATTCTTTCTAAAGTATAATGTTGTCCCTAAACTATTATTTCAGGTTATTAGGCCAGCTTATTTTGAGGAATTGAGCCTTTATGACTTTTTATAACGTGCTAGTATAATAGAAAGGTAATGCAGTCAAGCCCTATCTAAGTAAAGCTACGGCTCCTCGAAAGGAATGAATTGAAATTAAGAAAGTATTTTTTTAGATTTCTGATGTGTAAAATATAGTTTTCTTATGTGAAAAAAAAATGAAGTTATAAAACTAAAAATTGTTATGAAATATTATATTTTGTAGTGGATGTCTATAACTCCTAAAGAAGTTACTCCCACTACTTTTCTCCATTATGTAGATAACTCCCACTACTTCTCACCATTATAGTTGTAATTCCCACACCTCCATAACCTCCCCATGATCTTCCTCTATGATCTCAAATGTTTAATGTCATGTTTATGACATTCTTTTGTATGCCTCTATGTAATCCTATAAATAGAGGTTTTGGCACCACAATGTACACACTTGAACACTTGATAAAATAAGAAAGTTATATCTTCTTCTCTTATTCTACTTATCTTCTTGTTTTATATTGTTACTTTGAGCTACATTTATTAACACGTTATCAGCACGATTTGCTATATTCTTCCTATATTTTCTATAAGAAATGAAAGCCTTCCATGGGAGCTACAACCTTGAATCAATTTGGTTGAGCCTGTGAAAATCTGGGCATTTCGTTGCCATATCAATGTTGTGTTTGCTTCTGTTATACAGGGAGTATCATTTTTCAGTTGTCATTGAATTCTGCAAGTAACTTACGTTAATACTTAAGACTTGGTTTAATTTGTGTTACTTAACAATTTAGTTTCATTTGTGCAGATATATACATATGGAGTACCTGCTTTAGAGTGACAAACAAGAGCATATACGATGCCTTGACATCATCTCCCATATGTACTGCTCCGTCAGTTTGCAAGCCAAGATTATGGAACTGTTAACTAATGAGAAGGTTTCTAATTAATCTTAAAAAATAATAAGAATTTGTGATCAAAATAAATTTTGTATAACTAAGATAGTTTTATTCCCTTTATGTTTGATCATGTGGTTGTTCGTGAAAAAGATCAATGTGAACTTTTATTAAAGTTGGGCAAAAAATAATTGATTATTATAAAGTAGTATATCATGAAAGGCTCAAGGGTGAGTCCACTTAGACTTATTATGCCATTGTATAAGGGTAAGACATCGGGTTTGAGCCCCGGTGCACTGTGATTATAAGAGTTGGGTTTGAGTCCCAACTCATTGTGGCCTAACATGCCTTTATATGGGTAATGCATTGGGTTTGAGTCCCAATGCACCATATTGATGATATAATGATGACTAAAGAAAAATAATGTATTTTTCATGAAAAAGCATGAAGCTTGTCCCACTTGATTTGCTCCATTCTTGAAGTGAATTTGGTAGCGATGCATAATATGTCTAAATGAAGACAAGTGGTTGACCAATGAACGTGGCATGCCAAAGACCTAAATAATAATAGTCATCATTATGGTAAATGTAAAAAGGAGAACATAAGGGTTCTCAAAATGATCCTTTCAAGGTGAAGGAAATATGTATCGTTGTGGTCTGTTAATACGAGACACGCTCACATGATTATAGTGCATTACTTGAAAATGTGACTTGTGATAAGCATTGTAAATGTAAACTCATTCCTGAAAGTGAATGTGAAAATATATACTTCATGTGATAAAGATTATGCATAATAATGTGCTTATGTATGATTGAATAAATGCTATAACTCACCTCTACGGGAGGTTTGAGAGAAACAAATATAATGAATATTATTGGGTGGTTACATGAATATGTCATCGGTCACGTACATGTGGTACGCCAAAAATATTTTTCCATGCCTTATAAAAAGTTATTAAAGGCAAAATGAAAGCAAGAAATAATTTTGCTTATGATGATTTTGACCATGACAATTATTATGATAAGATAATTTTCTCCGTGGAGGAAAAATTCACCACTTGGATGGTATTATAAAAGATCTTGTAGTGCAAATTATTGAGAGCTTCAGAAGAGTGAATTTGTTACTACCCGAATAAATAAAATTATTCATGGCATTGGTGGTAGTAAGTCTCAAAAGAAACTTTTTGAGTTTCAAATGTATTAGCCAAAGTGGTTGACATATTGAGACCATAAATTAAAGGAAGATTGAATATCTTCTATATTACTATAACATACTGGGTAAATATGAAGGTTACCCCATTTTTCTTCTATTTGTACTACATATGTATAAGCATGATGATGAAATCATATGCCATAGTAAATTAAATGTTTACTGAAATAAATATCAGTTGGCATGACCGGTTGGCCATCCCGGGTTATTGATGCGAAAATTAATTGAGAATTCACATTGACATATATTGAAGAAATAGAAGATTCTTCAAGAATTCTCTTGTGCTGCTTATTCTCATGATATACCAGTTAAGGTTGTGATTGAATCTCTTGATTTCTGGAACGAATAGAAAGTGATATATATATAGGCCCAGTCACCTGCCATGTGGACCGTTTACTATTATATGATTTTAATAGATGCATCTATTGTATGTTCACATGTGTGTTGGTTATCAACTTGCAATTTGGATTTTGCAAGGTTGCTTGCTCAAATTATTAGAGCACAATTCCAGAATATAAATTGTGATAATAATGCTGGTTTAAATCCAAGTTGGTTTAGTAGAAATTGTATGCCTCCAATTATAGTTAAACCATTGGTTATGGGAACAAAACTCCAAATAGAAATTTTATATTAAGTATATTATTTAATATACAACAACACTGTACGCATCTAGCCAACAAGTTATGATAAATTCCCCCCATCACAATTGGTTCAGATATTTTCATCTAGAAATATGGATGTACTATATGATTTAATTGTGCCACCATAGTGCACAAAGATTGGTCCCCAAAGAAGATTGGGGATATGTGTTGGTGATCCTAACATTAGGGGGAGAAAATGAGCAGCTGAAAAAAGTAATACATGGAATGAATTATTATGAGTACACTTAGATCCTCGTACAAGAAAATATGAACTTGAAGTTCAAGTGATAATTCATTTGCAAAATATTGCCATGCGAATTTGCTGACCCAAAACTAAATGTTATATTTCAGCTACTAATGCTATAAATAAAATAAAGTCCATGATGGACATAGTCTATTGGAACGCATGAAGCCTAATAGATTAAGCGGTTCCAAAGATAGAACTCCTTGAAGAAGGAGAGGAGCAAATGTTCAAGATGGTCATAATAAGGAGGCAAGTGCTATATAAGAGCACTATGACATAACACTTCATAAGACCTCATGGGAGAGGCTCAGGTACCTGAAAATAATGAGATCTCGATAAGTTCTGTCTTTATGGACTGATGATGGAACCGACGTAAAATGATCGTCGACAATGTTGTTGATATAATGTGGCGCTCAATACTATTAATGTTGACGAGGATCTTGAGCTCAAATCTGTCATGGAATTTGGACAGATAAATGATTGGCCAAATGAAAAATATGCAATGAAAATTGACTTCATCTGAAAAATATAAAGTTGGACGGATAGTTCCAACAGCTGAAAGTATAAAGGCTATATGGAGATATCGAAATACGATTAGTGTTATATTGCGAAAGGAATCTTTGATATAGATTCGTTTATTCTAACAATTATTGTCAAGGTTTTGTTGGTTATGGAAATGCAGGCATTTTCTGAAATTCGTTCTTGAAACAATCTATTTGTATATGAGGGTAATGGCATATTGTGATATTCAACAAGGTTCCAATTACATTGAAGATGATACTGCATGCATATCTCAATTGAAAGAAGGACCATCGAAGGAGACAAAATAAAGGACATTCACCAAAATTCTTCAACAAATTTGTTCAAGTGATAATTTGACAAACATCTTCACATGCATTGCGGATCTCAATATTAGAGAAGTTGTTATACAAGCTTGGAATTCATCATCTTCGAAGAATAAAGTGATGTTTTCATCAGGGGGAGGCAAATACGCGCTGTACTCTTTTTCCCTTAGCTAAAATTTAATCCCACTGGGTTTTTCTGGCAAGGTTTTTAATGAGGCAGCAAATAATGCGTATTACAAGATATGTGTACTCTTTTTCCTTCACTAAGATTTTTTCCCACAGGGTTTTTTCTTAGTAAGGTTTTAACGAGGCACGTTATCTATAGACATCCAAGGGGGAGTGTTATGAAATATTATATTTTGTAGTGGATGTCTATAACTCCTAAAGAAGTTACTCCCACTACTCTTCTCCATTATGTAGATAACTCTCACTACTTCTCACCATTATAGTTGTAACTCCCACGCCTCCATAACCTCCCCATGATCTTCCTCTATGATCTCAAATGTTTAATGTCATGTTTATGACATTCTTTTGTATGCCTCTATGCACTTGAACACTTGATGAAATAAGAAAGTTATATCTTCTTCTCTTATTCTACTTATCTTCTTGTTTTATATTGTTACTTTGAGCTACATTTCTTAACAAAAATAAATTTGTAATGGAGCACAAAATCAGTTGACCCGTTAATTTTCACTCGTTCCGGCTTGAGCCGTTCGTATGCTAATATGCTTAATTAGGCCAAATTATCCTCCAATAATGAAATATTTACATCATGATGGTACAAGTGTAATTTAATTAGTGACTACTCCAATATTTTCATAAAACAAGAAAAAATTTAAGGAATAAAAACTCTTCCATATATGTAGAGTAAGCATATCCACATTACCACTAACGTAAAATATATACCTCTGTTGATGGTATCAAATACAATACTATTACCACCAACGGATGTGGTGCAGTGGATAGGACTGTTCCTCCCTTAACCAGAGGTTTCGAGTTCGAGCCCTGGTATGAAAAAATCCTTGGTAGGGAGCGCTTCCCCCCGAATGGGACCTTACGCGGCGCGAATCCGGATATAGTCGGGCTCCAATGCAGGTACCGGACACCGGGTGGGAAACCAAAAAAAAAAGTACAATACTATT